TTTTTTTTTTTTTTTTGTGTAATGATCACAGGCCGGTGGAGGACAGGAGGGGCTGGAGTTTCCTTTTGTAGAGGTACCCTTCACTTGAAGAAGCAGGAAGAAAAAAAAAAGCCCTGATGGCAATTTAAGAAACAATAGACTCAACTCGCGCTGCCGGCTTTGCTACTTGAAGTGTCATTTTCCACAACCAGGCAAGTTTTTTCCTCTCTCTCTCTCTCTCTCTCTCTCTCTCTTTTTTTCCTCCTTCTCTCCCAACCAAAGATGTTTCTTTCCTTTCAGTGCGTATAGATGAGGAGGACGCTGGTTGCCGTAGACAGATACACCAGAGAGGAAGAGTGGGGTGGGGGGAAGGGGGGAGAGAGGGAAAGAGGAAGGGGGGGAGGGAAAGACAGAGAGAGAGAGAGAAAGAGAGAGAGGAGAGGGAGAAAGAGAGAGGGGTGGACCCTGCTGGATGGAGATTCTGTTTTCTCCTTGCTAAAATAGAAGTGATTTGCAGGCTTTCCCTATGGAATCCAGTTTGACTCTCCCCAGAGCTAAACACAGGCACACTAACCCCAAAGGGAGGAGGCGGGGCTCGTGCCTCACAGGCCTGCCCCTTCATTTGCATAACGTCATCCTTCCGCCTCGCTGCAGCCAATCGTGGCTCAAAGAGCCTGCTGGCTCGCCGCGCCAGGCCACGCTCCCTCATTAACATCCCTCTCCGGGTGGCGCCGGGGAGCTAGCCAAAGTTCCTCGCAAAGTAGCGAGCGAAGGATCGCTGAACACCGGCGTCTATGCTGGGGAAGAGCTGGGCTGAGCTGGGCAGACCCGGGCTGGAAAGGGGAAACAGACGGAAGGGAAGGGCGATATTTTTCTCGGGGATTTGAGCTGGGTTCTGCATCCTGGTCGTTGCGGTCCATTTAGCATCCTCGCCACGCCCTGAGCGCGCTCGCGGTGCACTGACTGCTCACTCCCTGGGCTGATGCTGCGTCCTGCTCCGCTGTTCTGGGACGTCGGGGGCAAAAGAGGAGACGGGAGAGTCCGGGCAGAAAAAGCAGGACGCGCGTCCCAGGTGCCCACCTCTTCGCTTTGAGGAGGGGGTGGTGGGGTGGAAAAATGGGTGCTCGAGGTTGGGGCGGGAGATCGCCGAGGGCACTTGTCTCCACGCGGGGAGAGGTGGGTGAACCCTGGGCCCCGGCAAGCGAGGCTCTGTGGGTCCCCCAGGGAGTAGGGGGACCCGGACTCTGCCCGTAGTCTGGCTTACCAAATGGTTCTCGCTCAGTCGCTAGTCTCCAGGCCGCCGGTGTTAGGCACTATCCTCAACAAGCTCAGCTATCTCGAGTAATCCGCGGGATATGTAAACGGTGGACTGAATGCAATGCTGTCACGGAGTTGTATCGGGATGCATTTTAAAATTTATTCAGATTCAATTCCCAACCCCTCACCCTTGTGCCAAAGTGGTTTTTTCTTTAGAGTAACTACCAAAGCAACAACGTCTCTGATTACTTCGTTATTTGATGTAGGATTTCTCTGTTCCTCATTCCTTCTGTTAAAATGGGGGACTTGAACAAACCCTCCCCAACTTCTGCTCCTGCCAGTTGTCCAGAAAGCGAGAGATTGGATTAAGAAGGTGGGGGATGAGGGTAGGAGAGAGGGAGGGAGAAATGCTCTCCTACCTCAGACCTTTCTTTATATATGCTTGTGGCTGGCAAAGAAAATAGCTGGAAGTTTCTGGGTAATGTGCCCCATCATTTTTTAGCAGGTTGTAACCTCTAATAAGCACATGGTGAACTTCTGTTTCATTGCCCTCAAAGGAACTCCCTGACTGCAGCCAAATCTGCTAAGGACTCCTTAGGGGAAATTCTCTGCCAGAAATCCAGGTCCCCTTTCTGCTGGCCTTCCTTGGCCCTTTGATTTAGGAAGCTCATGGGGTCAGTGACGGAACAGTACACAAGCCCATGTTGAATGGATGCAGACAGGCAAGAATTACGTTTTGTGTTCTTGGCAGAGCAGGGAAGTGAGAGCCACTTCCTGATTCCTAAACCAGGGGGAGAAAAACTGTTTCAGGCTTGCGAGTACATGGCCACTGTTTTCAAACACTACTTTATCTTTGTGCATAAAGCCTGTCCAGATCCCATACCACTTATCGGGGCCATTAATGTGCTGAGTACTTTGTCCCTAATAATAATTAATAATTTAATTCAATCTCCATCAAGACACTCTTGAAGAGATCTGTCTGAATCATCAGGATCCCCATAGCATCTACCAGAGTTCCTGAGACATAGCATGCTTTCAGGATGGTTATGTTGGTGAAGAGTTTGGAAGGATTATAGGTTTGTGGGGAGAGCAAAGGGGGAGTTGGACATTCTACATCTCTATAGAATTTAAATGCGTAATTGAAACTGAGCCTGCTGAAAACTTCCCAAAGCTCCAAGCTTAACCTCCAAGACCCAAAGAGTCCCCAGAGCCAATCCCTTCCCCTTCCTGGACCATCCACTGCCTTCTCTAAGGGGATCCTTCAAGCAAGGGAGACCAGGAGGCAGAGGCTACCCTTCTATCAATGAGTCCCAGACACCCACAGCAAAAGACTCAAGCCTCCCTCTCCTTAATTGCCGGAGCCTCCATTTTACTCTCCAGTGAATTATATTCAGGACTCAGGACTCCCAAATTGAATCTGGTGAAGTACATACCCCAGTGATGGGGAACACACATTGTGATGGGGATCAGATCACTGCCAAAGGGAAGCAGCAAAGGTACCAGAGAAAGGAGAGACACATCCACTGTGAGGACCAGAATCACTGTGAAACACAAAAAAGATGGATTTCTAGGGGGTCAGGCAAAATCAAGAAACACTCAGCAAATGTGTTTGTGGAGGGGTCTGAAGCTCCCTTTTGTGAAAGGGAAATTGGCCCAGAGAAAGACGACTTCAACAGCCCAATTCCTGCCCCAGTGTAGGTACTCTCCAGAAACTAAATAAGAGGGAGGCCATCTCCACATCTGCCAGGCCACCAAAGGAAGAAAAACAAAAGAGGGCAGGAATATTTTTTTTAAGATTTTATTTATTTGACAGAGAGAGAGATCACAAGTAGGCAGAGAGGCAGGCAGAGAGAGGAGGAAGCAGGCTCAGTGCTGAGCAGAGAGCCCGACGCGGGGCTCGATCCCAGGACCCTGAGATCATGACCTGAGCTGAAGGCAGAGGCTTAACCCACTGAGCCACCCAGGCGCCCCAGGAATATTTTTTTTTTTAAGATTTTATTTATTTGACAGAGAGAGATCACAAGTAGACAGAGAGGCAGGCAGAGAGAGAGGGAGGGAAGCAGACTCCCTGCTGAGCAGAGAGCCCGATGCGGGACTCGATCCCAGGACCCCGAGATCATGACCTGAGCCGAAGGCAGCGGCTTAACCCACTGAGCCACCCAGGCGCCCCAGGAATATTTTTTTTTAAGATTTTATTTATTTATTTGACAGAGAGAGATCACAAGTAGGTAGACAGGCAGGCAGAGAGAGAGAGGAGAGAGCAGGCTCCCCGCCAAGCAGAGAGGCTGATGCGGGACTCAATCCCAGGACCCTGAGATCATGACCTGAGCCGAAGGCAGAGGCTTAACCCACTTAGCCACCCAGGCGCCCCGAGGGCAGGAATATTTTGATAAGACCAATTCCCTTTGGCAGTGAGAAGCAGCAGATACTTCACCTGGGAGGATGAGTGACTTTCTTTTAATCAAGCAGAGTGTATTCATAGCTTTTCTTCTGGGTGTCCTAGTGCTTTCAACCTGGCTTTCTCAGCCAGTAATAAATGTTTAAGTAAGAAGGAAACTAAAGAGAAGGTAGAACAGAGACAGAGAGGGTGATAGAAAACTGGGAACAACACCCAGGCCAGCAGAGTAGTAAGTTTTT